CCTCCAGGAAGCAAGCTCTGCCTGAGGCTCCCTGGCTGGGACAGAGGTCCCTCTCTGCACACCTGGGGTCTGGCTCAGCACATATTTAACCGTGCCTTCCGCGGGGAGAGCCCTGGTTCCGTTGAAGACCATGACACCGGCCTGGCGGGACACACTGAGCCAGTGGGAAACTCACAGAGGGCAAAGGTCGCATGGCACGGTGTAGAGTGGACCCCTCCCACATCTGAGGCCTGTTTGTGAAGGGCCTGTGTTGTGCTCGGAGCCGCCCTCCGCAGGATAGGCTCTGCCCGCTTCTTAGTGGGAGTGCCAAATGGGCCTCCGAAGGCCAGCTCTAGGCAGAGCTCTGCGGCAAATCTATCTTCGAACAGACAGATGTAACGTCAGTGCTGGGCCTCAAGGAGGCTGGGGGGCTGAGTGGTTAGGAGCACGGGTTTCAGACTCAGCCATACCTGGGCCTGAATCCTAGCCATGCTGCTTCTGGGCACATGACTCTGCATCTCCGAGCTTCTGCTTCCCTGTCTATGACTTCAGGCTTGTAAGTGAGGACTGAATGAGATGGCACAGAAAGTGGGCACCTGGCGCATTTCAGTAAATGCTCGCTGACCCTGTCACTGCATCACTCAAACCCCATTTCCTCTAGGCACTGCCCTCGACGCTCTGCGTGTTCTGGCTGTCCCCATGCCCTGCTCGGATGCCAACTCCCTCTGGCACCCTGGGATGGACTCTCCAGCGTGAGCCCCAGCAGGGCAGAAAGGGAGATTCAGAGAGGCCTGCCCAAGGCCACATCGCTGGTAACACAGAGCTGACACCAGGTCTTCCCATCCCAAGACCAGGGCTCTATCACCTGCACCCTTGTGTGAATGAGACACGAGCTCAGATGACCACTAGAAAGTGGCAGGTATGACGACCAGGGTCTGGCTGTTCTAAGCGTAAGAGGGTTAGGAAATCATACCAGAAGGTGAACTGTCATAAAGGGGGCCTTCTCGCTGGTGACTGTGAGTCTCTTTTCCCACAAAGGAGCCTGAGGCATGTTCCTCCTTTCTACCCCAGGCAGCCTCCCTGCAGACTATTTCCTCTGCCTGAATGTCCTGCCCCGACCGGGAGGAGCATCTGCTGTTTCATCTACAGGCTATTTCTTTTACTCCCGTCCCTAGGCTGGCCCTGACTGGCCCAGCCATTGACCCAAGATGAACCAATGAGACTTTTACTTAAATTGTTGGGGGTGTTCTTCTTTTTCCTGAAGCCACTGAGCTGACCTGTTGGATACAGCTTAGAGCTGTGGCCACCACTACCACATACCACCCTGCTTGGGCACAGAGAACGCTAAGAAGTGGAGAAAGGCAGGTCCTCATTGACATTTTTGCCCCTGGATCCAGCCATACCTGAAGCCAAGAATGCTTAGATGTCTCAGTTACATTTAGCTAATCAATGTTCTTTTTGAGTAATCCATTTTGACTGGGTTTCTGTCATCTGCAACTAAAACAAGTTCTGACTAAAAGAAGATCTCACAGCCAGTAAGTGGCAGCGTTTAGATCAAAGCCCAGGATCTTAACCACTCTATTAAACTGGCATCGTCTCTTCCTCTAATCTTTACGCCAGTTCCTAGCAACAACCCGTGCCCATCAATAAATCCCAACAGCTGACATTTGCTCAGGGCTGGACAGCCCAGAAACTGCTCACACGTGTCATCACTTTTTAAAAAAGGCAATTGAGATATACTTCTTATACCATAAAATTCACCCTTTTAAAGTGTACAATTCAGTGGTTTTTAGTATATTCACAAGGCTGTGCAACCATGACCATCACCCAATTCCAGAACATTTTCATCACCCCCAAAAGACACCCAGTACCCACAAACAGCCTCTTCCCCTTTTCCCCTCCCCCCAGCTCCTGGCAACCACGGATCTGCTGAACCTACCTCTTCTGGACACACATCACCATTTTTAGGTCCATATAAGCCTTGTGAAGTAGCCACTAGAGAGAGGGACACTAGAAGCAAAGTGGCTAAGAGTGCGGCTTCTGGAGTCACCCACCCAGTTTCAAACCCAAGTTCTGATGTTCACTAGCTGTGTGACCTTGTGCAAATGACTTAACCTCTCTGAGCCTAAGATTCTCCATCTATGTAATTGAATAAGCTTAACGCGAGGATTCCATGAGTCATTATCATTTAGATGCTTAGCAGTCAGTGATCCACAAATACCAGCTCGTTCTGCTGTCATGACCACACAACACGGATGAGGCCAGAGAGGCAACACAGGGGTTAAGGGGCATGCCGAAGGCCACACAGCACAGGCGGCTGGGCCCCAAGTCTCCTGACTGAGTCCTCTGCATTTTCCATTACAGCGCACTGGCCTAGCTGTTCCTCCACGAAAGCCTGGCCCTCCCCATACTCTCTTGTGCCAAGTCACTTTTGGAAAAAGCCAAGGCTACTCGGCAGACAAGAGGAAGGGGAGGGTGGGGTCACGAAATCATCTTACTTCGAGGGGTCCCAGCCCCATGTGGGCTGGCCTCCTTGCCTGGTCCTGGAGAACAGCTGACTTTGGCTGGTGGGGTCCTGCCCTCCTCTCTTCCAGATCCCCGCTCTGGGATGTGGGGGGTGGGGGGCAGGCCACTTCTAGGACAGCGAGACCCTCTGGAATTCCGTGATGTTCCCACTCCAGCCACCCATCTGGGACTCTTTAAAGCTGGCTGAAGCACTGCCTTTAGACTATCAGGGAGGGGCGTCTGAGGCAGCTGTTTGTGTTATAGTAAACCCCCAATTATTGCCAATTATGCCGAGTGGGGGAGAAAACCTCACTTTTAAGCTCTGGAAGAAATAAGAAAGTTGAGTCAGAACAGGAGAGTCAGGGAGGACAGGCTTTGGGCCAGGGAGACTCGTGATCATACTCTGGCTCAAGCATTCCCAAATGATGTCACCTTGGGCAAGTCTCATCTGAACAGAGGGACAGCTAATGACAGCTAATGTGCTTACTGAGCGAGGCACATCTTGAGTAACGGTCACAATGAATGCACAAAGAAAGCGTTTTCACTCTTAGCATGCAGATGGGGAGACTGAGTCTCAGAAACACACAGCGGTGACACCAAGCTGAGATCTGAAAGGCAGAGCTAAGATTCGAAACGTCTGTCTAATCCCAGAAGTCAAGGTCTAAAGCCCTGGGTATGCTGCCTCACTGGCTGCAGAACAACAGCTATTAACATTTCCAGAACTTCTCCCCACCCCGTCCTCATTCAACCTCTCCTCCTCCAGATGATGCTCTACCAAACGCCCAGACCCCTCTGGCCACAGCCGACAGTCTCAGGGGTGGACCCAGCACCCTTGGGACCATCAGATTCTCTCTCTCCTGGAGACTGGACCCAGCACCTAGAAACGCCAGAGTGTTGGCAACAGGGAAGGACATTTCAACTGGGGGACTGCAGTGCTGTCTGGGGATGTGGGCCAATGGTCCGGGGAGGAAGCTGGTCCAAAGAGGCTAGCAGGAAAACAGAGTAGGCTCGATGGGAGACCCTGTGGCCATAGCGATAGACGGCTGGGGAGCCGCTAGGCCTCCGAGGGCCGTTCAGTTGCTGGCTCTGGGGCCCTCTGAGGCCAGCTGCATTTCCTGCTCTGGGATCTGTGGGGGCACACCTGCCTCTTCCTGTAAATCTACGCTACTTCTTCCTCTCTTCCTGCCTAAGCTGCTCAGGGGGTGTTGGCTCTGTGGATGTCCATAATCCCCAGGATAGCAATTCTGATTGTAGCAGTTCTATTGTTTCGTTGTTCTCTGCCCCCTGTTATCCTTTTGGAGGTACCAGGCAGGCAAGAGGCTTCTGGAAGCAAAATACAGGTAGTCCTCCCTACACAGACCCGCTGTGCAGGAAAAGTCTGTCGAGCAACCTGCAAAAGTGTTTACCCAACATTCAATGTCTGAACTGAAGACGTGCTGTAATAGATCCGCATAGATCACCCCTGCATCTGCATAAGAGGGTATGGATCTCGGTCATTCTCAGACAGGACTATTCCTCCTGCTCATGGCGTTTAAAGGTGTTGGGCATCATCTTCTCTGCCTTTCCCCAAGGGTTCAGCCCCTTCCTCGCCCCCATGCTGCTCCTGCCAAGTCTGTTTTAGATAGTACCTTAGCATCTTTAACATATAGTCTCTTTATGTATTTACATGTTTGCTGTAGACCAGAAGGAAATATAATTTACATATGGTACTGTTTGATTTGGTTGCATTTTATGAACACAAAATGCCACTAATAAGTTCAGTGCATTTTAATAATTAGGTAACTGGTGTCTTGGTTTACATTACGCAATGACTCTTGGCAGTTTGTTATGTAGGCGTTTGAGATTGTTTTAGTGATATTGGGGAAACTGGTTAGGAGCACATTATTATCTCTCCTCCCCCTCTAAAATAATGAAATACAGATTCTGAAAACTCTTTATTCAACATTTTTAGGAATGGATTAGGTCCATACGACCAAGGCTGCCTGTGGTTAATATCACCCAAGCTTCCGAGAGAACATGTGAGGTCAAGACACGGGATGGTATGCAGAGGACACTGTGTTCACTGGGACTTCTGGGAAGTGACCTTTCACTCTTTCCTGCTGAGTATGAGCCCAAGGCATTTTGTAACCCTGTGGGATCTGAGGATAAAGCCAACACCATGAAAGTAGGAATGCAGGATGAGAGGAAGGAGCTGGGTGAGGTGGTACTGTGAAAACCCTGGATCAAGCTATGCCTGAAGCCGAGAAGGTTTTTTTCCTCCTGGGACAGTCAGACGAGTGCTCCACAGATTTGTGTGTCGTTCTTGCACAGGGACCGTGTTAATTTCTGTATCATTCTGATTTCAGTACCTGTGCTGCTGAAGTGAGCACAAGGACATCGTTTTTAAATCTAGGAAATAAAAAGGAACACTATGTGTCTGCCACGGGTGAGGGTCTAGGCTCTGACGTCAACATGGAAAGTTAGTCCGATTAAACTTCTTCCTACACCGCAGCTCACTGGACACTCCAAATCCTTACCTGGAGGTCAAAGAACTTGCTGTAGCGCCGGTAAATGGCCTCCGTGGAGCCGCTGGACCATGTAACCCGGATGATATAGACCTACGAGAGGGACAGAGGAGACAGGCATTAACACCAAGGGAGCCCTGCCATCTCCAGGGCTCTGGAGCAAAGCACAGAGTTGAGTCAGAAAGACCTGGGTTTGAATCTCAGCTCTGCCGCCGACCAGCAGTATGGCTTGGACAAGTCACCTGCTCTCTCTGGGCCTCAGCTTCCTCCACAATAATATGGATATAACCCCCACCTCTGAGAGCTATACAAAGGATTAAATGAAATCAAGAATGAGAAAGCATTAGCACCCAGCTCATCTCAGGAGATGGTGTTCTTTTCAGCACTGTAGGGATTTCTTGCTTTCCACTCAATCCACAGAGCCCCGGGGCTGGCTATTTTTCCAGTCATTCTTAAAAAGAATCAGCTCTGGGGCTTTTGCTCCAAACTTTGAGAAAGTCAAGCTCTCTTTTCTTTGAAGTTGGTGGGCTATTAGGATGGGGACCTGGAGCTGCTGGGGGCCATCTTCTCACCACTTGGAAGGAGCCTGCCTGAGTATGAAGCCAGCATCAGTAGATTCCTATACCACAGTCTGACCCTGAGATCCAGCTCTGCTTGAAGCTCAATCTACTCCTGTTCTGTCAAGTTTCCTGAGCCAATACATCTTGGGCCAAACCTGCCTTCTCAAGTTATTTTTGAAGCCAGTTTAAGTTGGGTTTCTGACACATGTAATCTAGTCCTGACTGATGCAGGATGGGAGGTAGGAGAGAGCTCTCTGAAGCCTGGAGACATCATGGTGCACTTTGAAGGACTTGGAAATGTTACTAGGAAACTTTCATTCAAAAGGCGACAAGGTGGAGCAACTATGTGGGGGCTGGGGCCAGAGACCAGTGTGAATGCCAGGGACTTGCAGGAGAAGGGTCTCCAGGTGAGAAGAGAGGAATAATGGAAAGATAAATCAGGACAAGATGGGAAGTGCCCTTGAGTGCCAAGCTAAGTCCACCAGGCATGACCTCTCCAAATCCAACACGCATTTCATTTCAAAGAAGCATGACAGAGAGGAAGAAACGTGAGCTCTAGAGTCAAGAAGCTCTAGACTCACACAATTTCCTAACCCTCAGAGCCACAGCTTCCTTAACTGTAAAGCGGGGTCAGCAAGTCCATCTCACACAGAGTTGTGATGATTATTAGAGGCCAAGCTCCAAGCTCTTTGCCTGGCAGAAAGGAAAAGGTCAAGAACTTTTAGTACCCTGCACTCTGATTCTCCAAAGCCTGCCCCACCCCTGTTCATAAAAAACAGGCTAATTCAACGTCAGGGATTTGGGCATCCCGGCCCAACCCCCTCCCTTGTTTGTGCTCCCTGGTGCTGGGGCCTTCACGGAGCCAAAGAACAGGTCAAGGCATCCTTTAGGAATCCCCTTGGAAAGGTGATTTTCTGACAAAAAAGAACTCTGTCTCTGAAGCCACCTGAGTAGTTGTCAGTTTTATTTAAAAAAACTTCAATTCTGCCTCATCAAGACACCAGCACAGAGATTTTGAATGGCTCCCATTTGTCATTCATTCATTCACTGTACAACATTTAGTAAGTACCTCTTGTGTGCCAGGTACTCTGCTGGATGCTGGGACACAATGAGGAACAAGAGACACCTAGACCTTGCCCTTGGAGAGTGGGAAGATGGACAACAGGCCAGCAGATAAGCAAGTAGGTACGTAATTGTAAGTTGCATTCAATGCTTAGGAAGGCCCCCAGAGCCTGCCATGAGTGCACGAGAGGGGAGCGTGGGGCAGCTGGGTGTCCTTGGAAGGGAAGGCCTATCTGAGGAAGCAAGCATTGAACGGAGACCTGAAGGACAAGATGCTGGCCAGGAGAAGAGCTGAGAACAGAGTATTCCGGGCAGAGAGAAGACGAGTAAGGATACGGAGGCCAGGAAAGGCCGGACATGTCTGAGGTGGAGGAAGACCATCACGGCAAGCAGAGCCGGGGGAGGAGGGAGGCAGGGGTGGGGAGGCAGGCAGCGGTGGCATTACGAAGGGCTTGCAGGCCACAGGGAGGAGATGGGATTTTGTTCTATTAAAGAGTTTCAAGGGGTGGGGTTGTGTGACACGATTTAATGTATGTTTAAAAACGTTTCCTATATATCCTTCTGGCCACTGTGCGAAAAATGGTATGACGAGGAGCAGGGACACCACTAAGGAGGCCTTTCCATCACTGAAAGGGACTCAGCCAATCCAATGGCCCCAACTTCCAGATGGGTAAATTGAGGCCCAGAGAAGACCATACCAACAGTCCTGTCACCGGGGGATGCTTAAGCGAAGTTTGGATGACTATTTGTTAAGAACAATGCTAATGTGGATTAAAAAACAAAGAAAAAAAAAGACTGATCATCAAAGTCATTGTTTTCCTAAAACCAAAAAAAAAGCATTCCCATAAATGGAAAAAAAAATTCTGCTTACACAATTCATTCTCGATCTCTTGTTTACAGTTTTTTAAAGTTCTGTACATATGGTACAAGGACTCTGCAGCAGTCCTAATTGGTTTATTGGAATCAACCTCTGAAGACAATTTGATGCCTGCATTTTTAGGCACAGATCTAACTTTTTAATGAGAATTGTCCCAATGCAGGGCTTTGGCCTTGCCCAGGGTTTAGGGGTGGGTGAAAGGGCACACCCACTGGGTTCTGACGCCAGCCCTGCTACTGGGGGAGACTCACAGGCACCAACCTCTTTGGCCACAGTGTCCTTCTCTCTTAAACAGGGTGAGTAATTTCCCTTGAGGATTCACAGCAATCACTAATGCATGTGGGGCCTTGCCCAATGCCTGGCACACAGGAGGCGTGCAAAGCTAGTTTTTCCCGCATAGCAGTTGATCAGTATGCCTGCTTATCTGGTATTCCCTCTCGTCTTGGTAACAGCGCCTAATTTCCTTTGGAACGCCACCCCTCTCCCTTTCCTAGTCTTTGTGATAGGGAGGGGGCGTGTGTCCCAGGCATGGCCAACCAGACTGCTGCCTGTCCCTGGCCACAACAGTGGTTCAGGGACAGGCACGTGACCCAAGCCAGGCCAACGAGACTCAATTCTGGGACTTTTGATGGTATGGTCAGGGAAGAGTCCCCTCTCCCCATCGTGATGGCTAATTGGGAAGAGAACTATGTGGAAAGCATCTGTCACACAGAAGCAAGCAGCCAAGAGGGAGAGAAAGGGCCTGAGTCCTGTGATATCATTTGAACCCCCAGATCCAGCATCCTGGACATTTCACGGCCACAAGCCAAAACCTTCCCTTTCTTGTTTAAGCCAGATTTAGTGTCTGTTACTTGCCACCAAAGCAGTCTACTCGACTTTTATTTTTTTATAATTTTTAAAGAGATTTATTTATTTATTTATTTATTTATTTATTTATTTATTTACCAGAGAGAGAGAGAGAGAGAGAGAGAGGGAGAGAAAGAGAGAAAGAGAGAACACACAAGCAGGGTGAGCAACAGGCAGAGGGAGAAGCAGATTCCCTGCTGAGCAGGGAGCCCGATGCGGAACTTGATCCCAGGGCCCTGGGATCATGACCTGAGCCAAAGTCAGACGCTTAAGTGACTGAGCCACCCAGGTGTTCCCTGACCTTGGCTTTTAGATTCTATCCCAAACCCATTTAACACGCAGTGTCCTGCTGTTAAGGAATTAAAAGCAGATTTTTTCATGGCAGCATTATTCACAATAGCCAAATGATGAACAAATGTATTGTACACATACAATATTACATACATATTACTCAGCCTTAAAAAGGAAGGGCATTCTGACTCATGCTATAATGTGGATGAATCCTGAGGACATGATGCTCAGTGAAATAAGCCAGTCACAAAGAACAAATACTGCATGATTCCACTTATATGAGGTACCTAAAATAGTCAAACTCATAGAAACAGAAAGTCGAGTGGTGGTTACCAGGGGATGGTGAGGGGGATGGGGAGTGAAGTGTTTAATGGCCATGGAGTTTCAGTTTGAAAAGATAATGCAAGTTCTGGAGATGGATGGTGGTGACTGCCCAACAGTGTGAATGTACTGTTTTTTTCTTTAAAGATTATATTTATTTGTCAGAGAGAGAGAGTGAGAGAGAGAGCGCACACAAGCAGGGGGAGCAGCAGGCAGAGGGAGAAGCAGGCTCCCCACTGAGGAAGGAGCCCGATGCGGGATCCGATCCCAGGACCCTGAGATCATGACCTGAGCTGAAGGCAGATGCTTAACCAACTGAGCCACCCAGGCGCCCCAGTGTGAATGTACTTAATGCCACTGAGCTATACACTTAAAAATGGTTGCAATGGTAACATTTATGTTATATATATTTTTATCACACTTAAAGAAAATAACTGTTAACAAAAGTAGATTTCCTGCAGGGGTTTATGTAGTCCATGTCATGTTCCCCTGGAAACGACACTGGAACTTTCTCCACAGAATAGCCCTCAAACCGTGTGCTGCACATCTGAGAGAAGTTTGTGTCCAGAATGTATTTTTTTATAAAAAAAACTCTCAAAACTCAACAGTAAGGAAACAACCAACATGATCACAAGATGGACAAGAGATCTGAACAGATCCTTCATCAAAGAGGATATACGGATGGCAAATAAGTACACAAGAAGATGTTTGACATCATTAGCCATTAGAGAAAGACCACCTGAAACCATGAGATTATCACCATGTATCTATTAGAATGGTTAGAAGAAAAAATACTGACACACCAACAAAAACAAATGCTGACAAAAATGTGGGGTCACCAGAACTCTCATCCACTGATGGGAAAGCAAGATGGCACCACCAGTCTGATGGATGCGGACCTACCAGGTGAAAGGTCATCGATAAGGGTTGCCACACAGTGTGAGAGTACCACCCCACAGATTACTTTCCCAGCAAAGGGGAAAATGCACCTTTTCAATGCAGATCTGGTGGTTAGACTGTGATGGGGCAATCAAACCTAGCATCACCAATAGAGAGACAAGCAGACACGCCGAGGTGATGCAATAAGAAATATACAAAATCTTCTGTCGAGTATTGTTGCCAAAATGTGTAACCTG